TATATATAAAGGCGTTTTAAACCCTTCCCACACTCTTGCAATATTCTAAACAATGTGTCTAAACTCTAAAGCTCTAAAAGAGCACAGAATGTCATGATTTCAGTTCTCTGCCTCCTCTGCTCTTTGCCACCTGCAAGCACTCTTGGCCACGCCCACTTCTCCGCTCTGCACGGAGAACAGCTGATCAGCTGCAGCAGGAAGTTTATCCTGCAGTATGGGCTGCACAAAAGGTGCAGGAGGTGCTAAATAATTTAAAATAATTTATTTTATATAAAAATTCCATGCTGATCGTGCGGCTCATCATCAATCAGTCAGTTATGTGTCATGTCCAATCTTATTTTGAAAAACCACGATAGAGCGAGTCCGCGATAAACGAACCGCGACGTAGCGATGGACTACTGTATTTCTCTAAACTGAGACCATTCAAAGAGCTATCTACAACAGGTATGATATTAACTGTTCACAACCTTTTCACTGAGGATGACTTTAAAAGATCTGAACTATCAGTTTGGACAGAAGGTTTTTGAAGGTATAATTCTTAAACGCCTCCTGCAAAATGACCAGATTGCCCCTGTAAGGCTCGTATCCATCCTGTAGTAGACATTAAGACAAATAGAATCCTTCACAATTCTGTCAAATCTGTCCACATCAATCCACATTAGACCAACCTAAAGCTGAAATTATACCAGTTACGCAGCAGGGATACAAACATGTTTTGCCAGATGCACTTTGGTTCTCATATGGAATCCATTACAGAAAAAAAAATCAGTCCTGCACAGTAAACAGCTGAAGGGGAGTCATCCATCCTTTCTTCCTTTCCTAGAAAGCCATTTGGCTGCTGCCTGGAAGGAGCCAGTCTTCATCCAGCAAAGGGATGAGATTTAGGAAGCTTCCCACAAGATGTCACTTTAACATGACCCAAATCCATAATTATAACAAGAAGCTCATAACCGGGAGGGAAAGTTTTTTTTTTATATCTAAGTGATGCTGAACAAGAGCCAGCAGCCACTTTTGCACATCACTTTGCAAAGTTCTGCCTTCACACAGATCCATTTACAAGTTCTTCCTGGTACCACTGTGGGTTGAATTTCTCCTCAGTTTTCAACCTAAATCTAAAATTGTAATTAAAGGCCTAGAATTCCTTAAAGGAATGCATATTTCCCACCACCATTTCACGCTGGAGGTTTAAACTAAGATCATCTGATTATAAGAAGGGAAGGAGCTATAGCCGTTTTGATCAAACCTTGTAAACAACGTTATGAGCAATCTCATGTCAGATATGAGCTCTCAGAGTACATGCTGGGATGACTCTCAGCTACTACCACACCAAATGTTAGCTTAATGTGTGTGCTGACTGAGTTACAGCCATTTTTGTGTTTCCAATAGTCAGACGGCCATCTTGAATTTGGTTAACTTAAAAACTGTATCAGTTATAGATGTTTCTTTCTGGGTGTTCCATAAAAATCCATTCAGTGGATCATAAAGTATTTTGCTAACAGGCAGAGTCGACTTCAGTTGTTAATGGCAAAGTTTAAGCAAGTGTGTAAGCGTTCTAGGATTAGGATGACTCCAAAAGTTTGCTAGATGTAAATACACATCCACTGTTTTATTAAAACATTAAAATAAAATAAAAACATTCAGAGGTTTATTAGATTTTTTTTTTTTTTTTACGAACAGAGACAAACAAAAACACACAAAGAGACATTATGATTCTTTTGCTTTTGGGGAACAACAGGAAGCTCCTAACAGGAAGAGTGTGTATGACTCAATTTTCTCTGAAAAGTCGTCAAAGTTATGCACTTTAATGACTCCAAGTTCCTGGATGCATATGCGGAGGAAGAACTTTATCAAAATGTTATCATTTAGTTGCACAAAACTGCTGCTGGTCTTGTGTAACAACTCGTTTTCATTCCATTGTACTTACTGGTTCTCCCTGGTACCACTGCGGGTTGAATTTCTCTTCAGTTTTTAGGCTGAAAAAGGTGTTTCGGGTCACGTCGTACATCTTGTTGTCTACAATCCCATGAGACTCGGGGTAAAGGCCCTGCAGAAGTTAGAAGCCAAAGAAATTCACAGTCACAATGAGCTGCTTTGATGATGTAGCTGCAGGAGTTTCAAGTACCGTAGTTTTCGGATTTTAAGGCGCATTAAGCGAAACAAAACAGTCAGATAAGTCAAACTTTATTCAACTTATTCATAATGACCACATAAAATTGGTTTGAGGTCAGTAAGTACAACCAGAATTAATACATAAGGCGCACTGTTGATTTTTGAGAAAAATTAAAGGATTTTAAGTGCGCCTTATAGTCAGAAAAATACGGTATTAAATGTACAAACGGTGCTCATGCTACACTTTTTAACCTCATCTTAGTTTCAAAGTACATTACGATCTGTTTTTCATTCATCCACTCATACAGTGTTTTGTTCTTTGTATTTGTGCTTTACACAAACAGTCCTTTAGACTTATGAATCACTTTTGACCGAAAACCTAAACACGGCTGGAAACCAGAGAACTTTACAGTAATCACAGGCTTTGTTTTCAAACAGCAACGATGGAATTTACTTGGTAAAGTTTTCGGCTGAATGGCTTTTTTCCGAACGCATGCTGTTAGGCCTCAACAGAGCATTAACTTTGAATTGTTGTGGAAAGAAGCTGAGGTTTTTTTTAAATGTAGTTAAACATAACAGCAGAGTTAGAGAGTATTGTTTAAAGGTTTGTGCTTTAGGTGGAAATCTACTTATTACTTCAAAAGCAAGGAAATTTTAACACATTTTGTTGAAAATCATCTTTGAGCTTGATTTATTTAAATTCAACAACTTATATAATGAAATATTTGAAAGGTTAAACCAGTTTCCCCTCACACCTCTTACTCATGATCCTTAGTAAAAACCCTCGTCGTACTCCAAATAACCAAGTTATAATCAGGGAAAGAAGATGAAATTTAGCTCCAACTATTATTTTGCACATTTATATATGTATATGTTCATTATAACGTATTGTGCTTTTTAATTAATTTATGTACTTCTAATTAAACAGGTAGTCTCACTGAGTCGAGTTGTCTCGTTTACAAGAGGGACTTGTAAAAAGGACACAGGACCACTAATCAGAGACATTCTCCATCTGCTTTTAATAGTTTCATTAAAATGATTGTTTAGGCTTCAAAGTTGCAACATAAAAGATAAAAAATTGAAAACGCTCAATAGTTTAACAGCCCTTATCCATTTCCTTGTTTCTAATCCCACCTCATTCATCTTGTGGCACTCAAGAAGCAACAGAAGTTAAATATTTACACAAGAAACACTTTTATAAACCAAATATTCCTGCAGAAATCATACATTTTTCCAAAACTGACTTTTGTTATTCAGCGGCTGTGGCTGAGTGGTTAGAGCAGTCGTCCTCCAATGCGAGAGTTGGGGGTTCGAATCCACCTGCAGTCACATGCTGAAGTGTCCCTGGGCAAGACACTGAACCTCTCATAGCCTCTGATGTGTGTCCCATCGGTGTTTGAATGTGATAAAGCTCTGACTATTCTCTTTAGAACGATTTGTTCAATTAGCTTTGTAGAAATCTAGTAGAGTGATGTATGAATGGGTAAATGAGGCACAGATTGTAGTGTAAAGTGCTTTGAGTATCTTGATCAGATAGAAAGGTGCTATATAAGTACACTCCATTTACCATTTACCATTTTAATCAAGAGCTTGCCTTGTAACTTACAATATATTTATTCCATTAACAATTTTATTCACATATTCACAAATGAGCCGAGCACAAGCCAGTGTATCTCTTGTGCTGGTCCCAAGTAAATGGTGAGGGTTGTGTCAAGAAGAACACCGGATGTAAAACAGTTTTGCCAAAACTATAATGCGAGTTAATCTACGTGACACCATACCAGATGAATCGAGGCCCAGGTTAACAACGACTGCCACCGGTGCTGTTGACAAACAGGGTGCCGGCAGAAATTGTGCTACTGTTAGTCGAAGACCACGAGGAGGGAAACATGTCAGGAGACAGAGAGAGAGGGTTGCAACTCTAAATGTTGGGACAATGACAAGCAAAGGTAGAGAGCTGGCTGACATGATGCAGAGAAGGAAGGTAGATGTTTTATGTGTACAAGTGACCAAGTGGAAGGGCAGCAAGACTTGCAGCATTAGAACAGGGTTCAAACTGTTTTACCACGGTGTCCGTAAAAAGAGAAATGTAGTAGGGGTGGTCCTGAAGGAGGAGTTGGCAAAGAATGTAGTAGAGGTGAAAAGAGTCAAGTCAAATTTATTTAAAAAGCACATTTAAAACAGCAGCTGTTACCAAAGTGTTTAACATAAAATATCAACGGCAGTAATTTAAAGAAAATAATAATAAAAATTTAATTAATAGCATTAGAATAAAAACAAACAAAAAAACAATAAACAATAAAATACTCAGATAAATCACTGTGTTAAAAGTCAGAGAAACCAGATGTGTTTTCAAAAGAGATTTAAAAGCAGGAAGTGAAGTGGCCTGTCTAATGTTGGGGGCAGATTGTTCCAAAGTTTATGGCACACAAATGAAAAAACCCGATCTCCTCTGAGCTTCAGCTTGGTTTTGGTGCAACCAAAAGCAACTGGTCTCAGTGCCCGAGAAGGAACATATGGTTGAAGTAGGTCAGAGAGGTACAAGACCATTAAGGCACTTAAAGGTCAACAGGAGAATTTTAAAATCTATTCTGATTTGCACAGGGAGCCAGTGAAGGGAGGACAAAACTGGTAAACTATGATCAAACCTATGAGAGCTGAGCTGCAGCATTTTGGACGAGCTGGAGACATGATGGGGACCTGACTGACCCCAGCTTAAAGTGCATTGCAATTATCAAGTCGGGTTGAAATTAAGACATGGACTATTTTTTCAAGGTCAGATCTGGTCAACACTGACTTAAGCTTAGCTCTTTGCCTTAACTGGAAGAAACTTTTCTGCAGAACAGAGTTAATCAGCTTATGAAACTTAAAATCAAGAGTGATTTTTCAGAGTGAAAAAGAGTGTCAGAGAGGTGATGTGTCTGAAGGTAGAAGTAGAAGGTCTGATGTTAAACATCGTCAGTGGTTATGCTCCACAGGTTGGATGTGATGTGGAGGAGAAAGATACATTTTGGAAGGATCTGAATGAAATGATAGAGAGTATTCCCAGGGAGGAGAGAGCGGTGATGGGAGCAAACCTGGGGATGAGGAAGTGATGGGTAGGTTTGATGGAAAGAAATTAGAAAGGACAGATGGTGGTGGATTTTACCAAGAGAATGGAAATGGCTATAGTCAATACCTATTTCCAAAAGAGGGAGGAACATAAAGTGACCTATAAGAGTGGAGGAAGATGTACACAGGTAGGCTACATTCTGTGTAGAAGAGGAAACCTGTGGGAGATTGGGGACTGTAAGGTTGTGGCAGGGGAGAGCATAGCCAGACAGTTGTGGATCGTTGTGTGAAGAATGACTGTTGTTGTGAAGAAGAGAAAAAGTGTAAAATCAGAGAAGAAGACCAAATGGTGGAAAGTTGAGGAAAGAAGAATGTTGTGAAAAATTCAGAGAGGAGCTGTTAAAGGTTCTGGGTGGTAAGAAAGAGCTTCCAAATGACTGGACTACTACAGCAACAGTAATTACAGAGACAGGTAGGAAGGTACTTGGTGTGTAATTTGGACAGAGAATGGATGATAAGGAAACCTGGTGGTGGAATAGTGAAGTGCAGGACGCCATTCAAAGAAAGAGGTTAGTTAAAAAAAATAGGACGGTGAGAGGACTGAAGAGAGGAGACAGGAATATAAGGAGATGAGACGTAGCGCAAAGAGGGAGGTAGCTAAGGCAAAGCAGAAGGCGTAATGATGAGTTATATGGGAGACTGGACACTAAAGAGGGCGAGAAGGACCTGTACCAATTGGCAAGACAGAGAGATCAGGTTGGAAAGGATATGCAGCAGGTTAGGCTTGTTAAAGATAGGAATGGTAATGTTCCAACAAGTGAAGAGTGTTAAACTCCTAAAGTTAAAAAATCAGCATGAGTATTTTGTCCATCTTTGACAAAACAGATTAGACAGATGTGGTCTTTGGGTTCATGGAATTAACTTGCGATTGTCTGGAAACACTCACAGTCACAATGCTGTAGTGGTTGGGGAATGTCTTTGTGGGATAAACAGGCCTGATGTATGGTGTCGTTGTTCCGGCTTGTCCTGCAACATAATGATAGTAAGTGGCATTCAGATGCCTGGGAAGAACCTCAGAGACATGAAGCATCAATCACTTTGGTGACTTACGTATCTTGTTGATGACAGGAAGGTGGTTTTTGTGATCCTTTAGATATTCTGCGCGGAAACCGTCCATTGAGACCAGGATGAGAGGGGACCTTGAAAAACTGAACAGGGAAAGACACCTCATTAATGAAACTCAAAGGTCTTTTTAGAATGACCATTTTAAGCTTGTTTATTGTTCATTCCATGTATTGTGAAATCTCTGTTTTAGGCTCAGAGAGAGCACGATTAGGTGATCCAAGTGGCTGAACATGTTCAGCAGTGTAGATGCTGATCAGCTGAGTATAGAAGGTTATAAATGAGCCAACTACAAAGGACTTAGGAAGACCTAAGTCTTACTCTGAACTAAAAGATTTACAGTGCTTTTATTTGTCTGTAGCTGATGAACAGGAAGTTGTGAAGCTAGGCAAACATTCACACACAACATGTATTATTCTGTCTAAACATGAGCACATCAGTTTTAGCTTCAAGACATATCTACAGTATGTCAACGAAAAAATATGCATCTGAATATTGAATTTGGCTTGGCAATTTGAAGATAAATCATCTCTCAGCAGGAGATACAGGCAGTCTGCTTGCATGTAGCTTTCTCTTCAAAGCAGTAATCCATTTTAGAAAACAAACAGAATCAAATTATCAATTGCAAAATAATTTGAGACAATTTGATTGATCTACATTACCGGTATGCCTCTTTTGTGGTTTTAGTAGTTAAGACCTTCACTGTAGGTGGTTTTGGACCAGTTCCAAAGACTCTATGAGGATTTTAAGGACTATTAGTTCCACTATGGAGCAGGTATATGGACTTATGGGTTTGCATTAGTAACAGTACCAGTGGAGCGCTTTGACCGAAATATTTGACTGACAGTCAATGCAGTCGTGTCATTTACACCAAACAGACAATCTACTTTGAACTGTGCATGTCATAGACAATGGTGTCATGGAACAGGAATTTTTTTTTTTTTTTAACCCAGAATGCAGACAGAACTCAAAACGTTCCAAAAAAAACAAACCATTATTTATTTAAAAAAAGTGGACTTGGACTCAAACCTACAAGGGCTTTGGAGAGTCTCACAAAGACCACAAGGATAACCAGACTGCAGTATGGAAACCAGCAATGCTCTGCTGGTGTGTGGAAACAACCTGACTGGATATATAGGACTGGGCTGATGAGGAAGTGGAGACACCTGGGCTGACGGCACACTGGAAACAGGTGAGAGTGGGCGTGGCAGGCTGACTGAGAGGAGCAGAAACTGACCGAGGAGCAGTAAGTGACCGTGCACAGAAAACACATGAAAACAAAACTAATCCTAAATCTCAATAAAACTATTTAATCTAATATATACAATGTAAAGATGCCAAGTTTTGTTTAGATAAAGAACTTGGGGCTAAATAATTATTTGCAATTAAGTCCTAAATTAGCTCAAATGTAGATGAACAAAAACGCACTTTTAATTTGCATTCAAATTTTTACAAAATGTACGTACGATAAATTAACCAAAAATTGACTTGTATTTTATCTGTTTGTTCAAATTTAGTCAAACACCGAATAATAGATTTTTACATCTCATTGCTTTTGAGATTGATAGTTTGCTTGTGGTTTTGAAATCATTTGTCTTGAATGCAAATAACCAAAAATATCTGTTGAAACGATCATCGAATCAAATAGAATAGAAATATTTAAAAATATTCTGTGTTGAATTAGTTTATAGCAATATTATTAATTAAATCTAATACAAATGTGAAAGTTTACAAGAGAGCATTGGCTTGGATCGCTATCATATTGTTGAAGTTAGGTCAGATTTAGATTTAGCTAACATCTGCTCCGAAAGTCTTATTAACTGCTGATTTGACTCTTTTTTTTACAAGAACATTCTCTTTGATACGCCAAACAAAGATTGCTCTGCCATCTACAGCAGGTGAGATACTGACCACTGAAAGCAGCTCCACAGAACCCCACGTTAAACAATCTGAACTTTGCTTTTATTTAATGAAATCTATGTGGTGACTCCCTTTTGGTGAAACAGCATATAACATTTTTACAACCAGCAGTTTCCAAAAGAGCATAAAACCCAAACTACGCAGAAAAATATTTGTGCGGTCTACTAACAGAAATAATAAAACCAAACCCAGCAGAATGAGCAACACATTTTATAAAAGCACCAACCATATTTCTATATTTTGTTTTGTTCAAACCAAAAATAATCCTATTTGAAGCAACTGGTTTTCTTTTCCTCTGTGTGAGGATTTTGTCTGGAGTTACTCGGTTACACACACACATGCAAACACACCCCCTCTACTAACAAACACACGCCTGATTAGTCAAAGTCATCAGCTCAGTTTCCATAGACAGATACGTTTTCCTATAAAATGACACCACTGGAAACAAAACATAGGGTTAGTTACACACATTAAAAACACAAAGGAGACAGACTAAACTGTCACAGGGACGTAAAAACATCACTTCTTTTCTTTGTGCTGTCATTTTAACGCTGCTTACAGGAAGAAGATGCCAAATAACAAAAAGAGCTGAAAAGCTTCATTCTCAGCTACAAAACATCTGGATATTTATCCCTCGAGAAGGTGGAGCTAAAAGGAGAAAATACATTAAAAGGCACGTGATCTGTGATTTTATTTTTCTTGTTATAAAAGTCTTTCCTTACCCAGGTGGACACTGTTTCTGCTGAATTTCCTCGAAGGCCTCAACCAGCCAGGGGTCCCCTCCTGTCAGGAAAAATAGAAACGCTGGTGAGAAAATGCACGTTTAGTTCGTTTTTCTGAGCTGAGGTAAATGTAACGCAAAATATTCATACTACTGTATTTTTCGGATTGTAAGGCGCATTAAGCGAAACAAAACAGATACGTCAAACTTTATTCAACTAATTCACAATAGCCACTTAAAATTGGTTCGAGGTCAGTAAGCACAACCAGAATTAATAGATAAGGCGCACGGGATAATAACACTGTCGATTTTTGAGAAAATTAAAGGATTTTAATTAAGCGTCTTATAGTTCGAAAAATACGGTATGTGTATAAATTTAGTGTTCGCATAAAGGACTAAAGCCTTAAATAATGTCATAAACAGGGTATTGATTAATTTCCAAATATTTTAAAAGCATTAATCATTTAAAAACAATGTTTATGCAGTGAAGAAGGCTCAGCTCAAGTGCTGAACTTTTAGCCATTTCTTCATAAAAATAAAATTTGTCAATAAGTTACTTCCATTTGTAGATACATGGCAAATAAAGTCATTTAGTTAGAAATATAAGCTGAGCAACTAGTAAAAATTAAAATGGCCTAAATGAATAACTAGTGACTTTGCTTCAGTTTTTATAAATTACTGTTAATGATTTAAGAACAAAATATTTACAAACATTTCATCATGGTGACGTTATATCACAACACTAAATGACTAACATAAATCGGACTTTTAGATATTTGTATCAAAGCTTCACAAAGGACCGTTTAATTCCCCAAAACGTTCTTAAAAGTTAAATATTTATGTCAAAACTATTAAAAATACACATGAAACTCCCATCGTTGATCCTCAGCGTGTCGTTTGAGTAAACCTGCCTGACAGTGTTCAGCTGAAACAAACAATAACTTTCTGATTAGATGGGATCGTTCAGTCATGTGACTGCTGTCCAAGGAAACAACGTTTTATAAGTATTATACGTCTTATTAGTCTTATTAGCAGCACAAAGTGGATCACCCAGTTAGCTGGTGACAGCCAAAACTAGTTGTTCACGTGCAAAATGAGCTCCAGTGAGAAGTTTGGAACAGATATTTCAAAACTAATTTGTGTGTTTAAACAAGTAATAACTGTTTAGCCAATACTTACGATGATAAACAGTTTTCCTTTTTTTTTTTAATAGACCACTTCTGGCTTCCATCAGCTGTTTTAACCACAATGTTTTTTAGCTTCAATGTTAAATTACCAGACATTTAACTTGATGTATATTTGGAGCCAATATAGTAAAGTTGTGGGCATTAGGCCCAACGTAAGTATTAAAACATAAGATCTGCTCCCTTCCCGTTGAGTGAAATTTAAAATGTTGTCCAAAACACAGACATGTAAGTAATGCAAAACTAAAGAGAGACGAGGAAAAACTAGAGCAAAAAAACAAACACAGAAATTTACTAACCATGTGAACGCTGACTACACAATGACTGGTTTACAGAAAATAAACGAGGCTGTGCAATTACATTACATAACAATGATAAACAACGTTGGCTGCTCCCTTCTGCAGGGGGCTCCACAGCGAGCGAAGTCGCATGAAACATTTTGCAGTTATTTACACGAGCTGCCCTTCCTGACTCAGCCTGGGCTTGAACCTGCAGCCTCACGATTACAAGACGGCAACATGGACCACTGAGCTAACACAGCCTCTACTGGGGTAAACGAAGTTGTTGCAAATGAAAAACAAAATTAAACACAAGGAAGAAGATGCAAACAAAACCAGTCTCTACAACTGGTCTGAACGTCGACGGTCATCATTACTCCCTCTCAGCTCATTTAGTGAACGTTGATGAAGCATTCCCTCTTTTGTGATCCATTTTTCTTCCGTATGTTTTTCAGCATCTTTCTTGTTCAATAATTTTTGTGCTGTTTCAACAAATATATCTAAATGTTCAGTTCGTTCAGGAGAAGAGTGCTATGACTTTTGATATTGGTGCACCTTTAGCATTTTTAGCTTTAGCTTTTTGAAATATTTAGCCTTTTCTGCCACTTTTTCTCTCATACAAAATGAACTGAGCTCATTTTACATCCTTCAGATCTGTTTACAACCTTTTACTGCTCCTTTCACATTTTGTTCTGGTTCAGCTTCTTTCAGCTTCCTTGTAATTTTGCAAATTTAAACTTTATTTCAGCTATCTAAAAAAGTTAAATCTGGTCCTCTGGACATTCAAAAAAACAAAACAAAGCAAATCAACAAAAAATGTAGAAACGTTTCATCTCTCGTCCGAGAGACTTCCTCAGTCTGAGGTGCTGTTTTCAGCTCAGTCTCTTAAATAGCACCTTCTTAGAGTGGATCAACCAGTTTTGCTGCTGACAACCAAAACCAGCTGATCACATGCTCAAGAAGGACCATCAGCCTAACAATGGATCATTAGCACACTGATGGTTGTTTACTGTTCACAGAGGGCTGAGTGATACTAGCAATAACAGCATTGTAAGAGGGGGACAGTTGAACCCGGAGGCCTCCACCCCTGTTTAACGATGGACGGTTTCTTTTCACAAAGATGGCCTCCTTTACTTCTCTCTCAAACCATCTGGATCTTTGGGATGAACCAGTCTTTGCCGTAATGTATTTTGGGGTTTAAAAGCCACTGTCACATCCTGGACAGAGAGGAACGATGGTTTGAGAGAGGAGTAAAGGAGGCCATCTTTGTGAAAAGAAATCGTCCATCATTAAACAGGGGTGGAGGCCTCCGGGTTCAACTGTCCCCCTCTTACAATGCTGTGATTGCTAGTATCACTCAGCCCTCTGTGAACAGTAAACAGCCATCAGTGTGCTAATGATCCATTGTTAGGCTGTTGGTCCTTCTTGAGTATGTGATCAGCTGGTTTTGGTTGTCAGCAGCAAAACTGGTTGATCCACTCTGAGAAGGTGCTATTTAAGAGACTGAGCTGAATACAGCTCCTCAGACTGAGGAAGTCTCTCGGACGAGAGATGAAACGTTTCTACATTTTTTGTTGATTTGCTTTGTTTTGTTTTTTTGAATGTCCAGAGGACCAGATTTAACTTTTTTAGATTTTTCTACCTCGATTATTGAGCATGCATCAGGATATTTATTTCAGCTACTTTCATCTAATTTCAGCTGTTTTATTTGGCTGTTTTGTGCTCATTTCCCATTCTTTATGCTAACTATATTTTTGAGCTTCTTTATGCTAATTTCAGCTCGTTATGCTCCTTTCAGCTTATTTCTGCAAATTTCAGCTTTTTCCACAATTTCAGCTACTACTTAGTTGTTTTTATGCTAATTTAATCTTTTTCAGCTAATTCCACATTTTATGCACTCATTACAACATTTTTCAGTCTAATTTAGCAAAATGTGCTCGCGCCACTTCATTCTGGTAATCTAAGCTTCTTTCTGCATTTTTAGCTACTTTTCAGCTGTTTTTGCTTATTTCAGCTTTTCTTCCAGATAATTTCCACAATTTTGTGTTCATTTATGCTTCTTTCATCCAAATGAACTTTTTTGTGCTAATTTAAACTTGTGCTCCTTTCAGCTTTTTTCTGCTAGTTTCAGCTTTTTTTTGCTATTTCAGCTACTATTTAGCTCTTTTGATGCTGTTTTTAGTTTTTTCATGTAATTCCACTTTTATCATTTTAGCTAATTTCAGCTCTTTCCACTTCCCTCTGGTAGTTTTAGCTTCTTTCTGCCTTTTCAGCTACTTTTCAGCTGTTTTTTTGTTGCTCATTTTAGCTATTTTTTTTAGCTAATTTTCTATTTTTTGTGCTCACTTCTGTTAGTTTAAATTTATGATAATTAAGCAAATATGTGTCCTTTCTGCTTTCTTCTGCTAAATTAGGCTTGTTCTTCCATTTAAGCTACATTTCAGCATGTTTTTAGCTTATTTCAGCAGTTTTTCAGCAAGTTCTTCTGCAATAAGCGTTCACACTGTATTTTCACAGGAAATGCAATTTCTCTAGTTCTTGAGTTCATCACAACTCTTCAGCCTGTTTTGGATTTCTGTTGTTTCTTGGACCCTTTGTGTTTTAAATTTAAGCAGAGGTTTCCTGTTAACACCTTGTCTGCTTGGACACCTCCCCTTTAATCAACTCTGACAGTCCTCATTGTCGGAATAAAGTTAACTTGGCTTCTGTTTCTTGAAAACTCAATCTTTTATCTGAAGGCGTCTTCGGTTCTGATGATGGTTTTTGGCGTTTCAGGGTTCTATTGTTGTTGCTACAATCACACTGAAGCGTCCTTGAGAGTCCAGTGAGTCTGACCCGCCCGTCCATCCTGTGAGCTGTTTGGTTCCTCTGTGAGTTCTTCACCTGACCCGGCGTGTTCAGCTCACATGTTTCAGGGTGCGAATGAAAGCGAAACCATTCTTAATGGCCAGATATGTGTCGGGTTGAAACCCAAGACAAAGCTCTGCTTTCCGTGGCTGTTTTCCAGATTAAAGTTGATGGTTTACAGTTCTTCACTCCTCCCTCAAACCATCTGTCTTCGTTTCAAAGTGTGTATTTTTACACACTTGAAATTGAGCTCCTTATCTCTGACATGTAGCAGAATACTGACCCGAGCAGCGTTGTGCTGGGTCACGCTTGAAGAAGTCGTTAATTTTCTTTGACACAACAATCTGAGCTCTTCTCGCTGCACTGGACAGTTTCCACAACACCACTCAGCTTGTGTTAAAGCATTTGAGCGTTCCAAAAAATCCGTCAAAATGTTTTAGTTTCGGTTAATGCGCCTTATAATCCGGTGCGCCTTATAGTCCGAAAAATAAGGTGATGCAAAACAGAGTTTCTTCAAGGAATGCATGCCACCTTCCGCCTTTCACGCCAGAGATTTAAACTTTAAAGATCACCTACTGAGATAAATAAAACAATTTACAGCGTCGCATGGTTTGCAATAATTCACATTTTGTCTCGTGTCGACACTTTTTATTGTTGATGTGCTACGACATGATTTCAGATAGATATAGGATGGGCACAAAGGAAAACCATGAGTTTGGGAAAATAATGTATTTTTCAAAACAAATTTGATAT